TGTGTGATAGGGAAGGACACCAAGCACGAAGTCAAGAGATAGGCCAAATGGCAAGGAAAATTGAGACAACCAGGAAGCCAAGGAGAGGAGAAGCATTAATGGCATCTGAGGATGACAAAAAGGGAAGGCCAAGCAGTGACAATGGGAGTGTGAACAGAGAGGAATGTGGTGCAGCAAAGAGCCAAAGGAAATCGGCATGAGAGGGACAGCAGAGAACTGGGGAAGGGAGAACACCTGGACAGCAGCTGAGGAACAGCATAGGCACTAATGTTTTCTTTTGCTGAGCAGAGAAGAATCTGACAGAAGGAGTGAGATCAGTAAAAGCCAAAAGGCACATCTCCGACCAGGAGCAGTGTGTGTGAGCAGGACGCAGAAGCAGTGTTTCCCTTCTTTTTAGACAGCACAAGCAGCAAGTTGTTTTGCATACATTACAGCAATTTCAGAACAGTGTATGTAGGTTTCAGTGCCACAGGGCTGGATGGGAGACACAAGCTAGATCTCAGAAAACATAGGGCAAGAACTATTCTCTGCACACACTTTCTGCTCCTGATTGTTACAGTAGCAAGAGAAAAACAAGCCTGTGAGGTAGAGGTATGAAGAAGCATGTGCCTGGCGAAAGAGGAAGGGTAAGTGCTCCCTGCCTAAGCCCCCCGTCTTGCCTACTGCAGCAGTCAGGTTCCTCAAAGAGGTGATAAAATGTAACACAACTTCCCTCACTGCAGATGGCAAGAAAATGAGAAAGACTACTTCACTGACCCCTAAACCTAAGCAAGGAAAAAGAGGGAGCTTTTGGCACAGGGAAGCTCTTCTGCTGGCTCACAGAACTGAAGCCTGAGGCTACAGCAAAATGAGGTCCTTGAAGCTTCATTTGCATATGAGTGATCAATAAAACAAAACCTGGGTCAAAAGGGGAGACAGAAACTGAGAGACTCTGATCTATCTTTTGAAAACCAGTGGGCTTATACCCCCAGAGATCTATACTACCTACTGCAAGCAGCTTCAACAGAGGCACAGAGAAAGATGTCATTTTGGCAATTTTAATTCTCCCCCCTTTATTATACAAAATACTTTACAATTAAAAAACATTTTCCCCATTAGAATCATATACAGATATTTATAATTAACAAGATTCAATTACACACAAGATGGGGAACTTCTGCACAAAGGAAAACAATGACAGATGATCAAGTGAAAATTAAGACTTGACCCTTTCCCCACCATATTCTGGGAGGGGAGGTTACATTTTAGACTTTTATTCCTATCACGTTCCCTCAAGTCTGAACTCTGGGATCTACTCTCACCCCGACAGGCTAAGGGCCTCCACCTGTGTCCCTAGCGTAAGTACAATACTCTGCTCCTGAAAAGTTCATGAAGAGACACAGAAACTAGCATCTGGCTGTACCATGAAGTTATCAGTACCCAGAAAAGGGGACTGCTGCCCCCAGTTTTCCCTAGCAACCCACATATACACACATGCAAGCACATACATGGGGGAAGCATGCTCAAAACCCAGATTTTTTTCATCCTTTCACCAAATGGCAGTCCCACCCCACCAAAGCAACCTGCACTTGAGACGCCTCCAGCGGGTAGTCTCTGCAGAGTGGCTATCATAAGGTCTCGTAGCCAAGCTGGGTGTTACTGCAAATGCTCTCTGCAAGAGGGCTGGATGTTGCTGTCTTCCCCACTTTGATCATCTGCCTACCAGCAGAGTGTCAGTCAGTCATGGAGGTGATAACATGAACCACTCAGAGATGCTCAGGCCACAACAGACAGGTAGGGGAAGTTGCATGCTTCAGCGGGAGGTCCTTGAAAAAACAGTTGCCAATGATCTGCCCTACCAGAGCAAAGATGCGTGAACCTAGTGAACATTTTCTCTCTAAGGAAGGTCACTGCTGGGCTGGGCCAACCCTGCACTCGCAGGGGAGCCCATCCCAGAGTCACTGCTGGAGGCCAAATGCCTGAAGCAGTGTGGGAAGATCATGGGCATCAGCTGCCCCATACAGGTCACTCTGCCCCAGCATGGAGAGGGCCATGCGGAGGGTGCTCCAGATGTTGTCAGACATAGCGCCTTGCTGCCCCCGCGGACCTCGGCTCTTCTGCTGCATGTGCAAAGCCTCTAAGAAGTGCTCCACAGCCTCACTGTCAACATGAGAACATACACACGCTTACTGGAGAAGACGGCACATCTCATACTCCCTCCCCCATTTGCTTCTGAAGTACTTCTCCTCCAAAACAGTTTCCTCCTCTTCACCAGATCCTGCCCCGCTCCAGGACCATCAGAGATCCCCCTTTTCCCTCTTAACAGAAACTGAAGTCCAGATGGCCCCTACTGCAGCTGCATCTGCATCACACTTTGTTCTCAGGGCAGAGTCCACACATTCGCTCTGCTCTCCTATGCCAAGGGAAGGCTGCAGGCAGTGTGGCACTGCCCTAGTAACCCATTGCAGTCTCTCTCCCACAAACACATGCACACTCATGGGTCACAGCAGATCTGCCCATCCTATGCTCACCGGTGGGCACCTAAGTTGATGCAACTGATGCCCAAGTTGTAGCGAGAGCGGATGTATCCTGGCTGGAGCTCCAGCGCCCGACGATATGCAGCCACAGCTTCCTCACTCCGATTCCCATTGGCCAGGGTGGCACCGAGCTTGTTCCATAGAAGATGGTCCTGGAGGAGGCAGCAGAGAAAGGGATGAGATAAACTGGATCTTTTTAAGCTCCAAGCCAACCCTCCCTTCCCCATGTGCCTGCCTTACTCTCCACTCCAAAAAAGGAACTCTCATACAAGCAGCACCTCCACCCAAACCTTCACCCGTAAACCTCCAGGTACCTCTAGCATCCAGAGTCTGCCCTCTCTTACATTGGGGCGCACACCGAGTGCAGAACTGAAGCAATCCACAGCCTTCTCGTACTCGCCACTAAGGTTGAAAAGGACACCCAGGCCACACTGAACATCAGGATCCACAGTTGAGGGGTTGCTGCGCACGGCTGCTAAGAACAGCTCTTTCACCTCCACGAACAGCGAGCTGGAACAGCACAGAAAAGGATACTGTTGTACTGTGGAGAGAGCTGGCCTTGGGTTGCTCCCTCTGCTCCTGCCTGGACCAGTCCTAACCCTCCAAGAAGCCTTTCAGCTGAAGACTGAAATTTGTAACCCTAACTCACTCAGACAGCAGGGAACCTAGGACACGCTTGGAAGGCCCCAGATTTGTCCCCAAGACGCTCTCCTCTGTTTCTTTCTCCAGCAGGTGGGCATAGTCCGGTTTATGGCGTAGCCAGTCCCGCAGGGTCTCACATGCCTGCTTCTGCAAGGACTCGTTGGTGAAGCTGACTGCTAAAGCCATAAGTGCTGTGAGGTTCCCAGGCTGCAGTTCCAAGCACCTGCAGGTTAAAGAAAGAAAAGTGAATACAGTAGTAAATCAGTCTGAGAGACACCCAGATACAGGAGGTAACACAGTCAAGACAGAGCACACCATGCTAGCCATATGGTCCTTGTGGCACTATGCACTAGACAAAGAGCCATGCTCAGAAGCTCTTCTGCAACACTCACTGTCTGAGAGCACTGATTGCCAAAAGCTCCTGTTCATTCTCTGCTTGGGTGGTTCCCAGATATTGCCAGGCCTGGAGAAGATAAAGATGCACAAAGTCAGGCTTCTTCATATCCAGAGAAAAAGACCAGCCAATAAACCACAGACACGGAGATTAAACCCACCGTATTTTCCCACACATTTTTAGAGTGAGACCAAATATATCCAACTATACACATTAGCCACAGATTTAAGTTTCGCTCAAAAGACATATAGACCTTATGGCACATAGGTCCTCAAGGCCAATAAACTTTGTTATAGTAAAAAGAAGTGAATGTCTACCTGGAGATCTATCATAAAGCAACTGTTGGCAGTTTTACACTTTTAAGTCACAGAATCTCCGCTTTTAACTTCTAACTGTGGTCAAACTGCAGAGGAAGGAGGGAAAAGCAGATCTCTTATTTCCTAAGAACAAATAGCATAGCAGCAGTGCTAATAATAAGGAGACCCCCAAGGTAGGCAGTCGTATATACTTGTGCAGTGGTCCACTAGCAAATGATAATCTTGGGGAGCTGACCGTCAGACCTGTAAGTAGAAGCACTGTTATTTTACTGAATCTTCAATCATTGTGACACCAGTACGTGAAAACCACTTCCATCTCCAGGCTGCTGACATAGGGAGTATTTAATTAAGGCACTAAATACAAAGTACCTGTTCACTTTGTGTTGATAACCACACCCCTTGATCAAAAATAGGCTGGATAGTTGGCAGGACTGTCAGCATGAAGTACCCACTTTTTGAACGTGTCACAAAATGCAGTGTCCACTGTCTCAAGGAAGGAAACTGTTTCATTAGCAAAGACCCAGACACGCTGCACAAGCCACCACAAGCAAGAGGCAATCTACTGTCTCAAATCTCTAATGCCTCACCATATAGCTAGCTGCAACTCAAGAAGAGCTGACCACTGATAACTGCATAGTGTTCTGCAGACAGAAGAGCTGAGATTCAAGGTAAAGTTGTGATTTGGACCAAAGTAACCATGACATTTCCTTCAGAGCAATTGTTCAAGTCTACTTGATCACTGTACCATTTGTGAAGTCTTGACTTCTCCTGTACTTTCTGCAGAGTCACAGTAGAATTCAGAATGTTTTCAATACAGCTAGCCAGAACCAGCCCAAGATTTCTTCCCCTAACATTTCAACTACCTCTCCATTATGCTCAGCCTGCAGCCCACACTGCCTACAAGAGTGCCGATTCTAAAGGAATATTAGCAACACCTTTTGACCACTTTAAAGCTAAAGTAGATCTCCAAAACCTCTACTTACTCTTCACCTACTCCCAGTACCCTAGAAAGTTAGATGCTTGTATTCCCGGAAGCCAAGAACCTCTGTTCCAAGAGATCGCTCTCACCTAAGCCTCAGGGTTAACAAATTAGGTATTTCCAATCTTATATAATTAGCAGGGCTTGCTTGAATCAGACACACTGAGAATTCAGCATCCCTGGGTCCTTGAGTCAGGCACTCCAGAAACGGACAACATGGGTGCATTTGCATTCTTCCTCCTGAGAATACCCACGTCCTCTACCTCTAGAGAAAGGAGCACAGACTATTCCATTTCTCAATCCATCCTGCAGAAGCTGAAGTGCTTTATGGAAACAAGTATTCATTGAATTAGGAGCTGGAAACTTGTCTTTAGTATAAAAATCATTCTCTGGCCCACAACTTCAAATGAAGACTGTGAAGACACCCAAGCCATCTCTCTCAACCCTTTTGGGTTACATCTTCTCCTGGCATCTAGATGGAAGACCTAACCAGGTCCCCTAGTCTAACAAGCTGCTCAGAATTCGTCTTTAATACAGATATTGAAAGCAGTTATCATCTGCCATAAGCATCTCCAAACTTGCAAGGCCAATAAAGACTTCCACAGAAGCAACTTAAGAGATGAGAACTCCTTGTCTTGGCTCCATGCACAGTCTCATGCACTCCAAAATGTTTTACACAGCTCTGGCCAGAGCCTTTGCGCTTTTTGTAACTGACCTTAGTCATAAACCTCCTTGCCTACAGCCCTCCTGGGGATTCACATACATCAGCTACATAACCAGAGCCACAGAAAAATGTGATGTTTTCATACACCCTGCACAGCACCTAACACTGAAGTGAGTTTTCTACACACACCCTGACACCACACAAGGGAAGGATCCAAGCAGCAGGTCACCTGGCCTGTTATCTCTGCTCTCACTCACCTCCATATGATCTGGCTTCTGTTGCACTGCAGCCTCAAAGAGCAAGACAGCATTGGGGAGGTCACCTTCCTCCAAGCGCTTCCGCCCCTCTTCAAATGCATCTGGGTGATCTCTCATGGGATTATCTTCCTCAAACTGGTACCCCTAGCAGGGAAGACAGACAGGGGCTAATGCTATGAGACAGGCTTAGGGAGAAAAGCACTCTCTACAGTACAGCACAGTCTAGTCTTGCTGCATCAGAAACACTCAGACTGCAGGCCAGCCAGCACCTCATCCTCTCTGCTAGTTTGTAGCAGATCGGAGAACAATGGCTCTTCTTCCTGCCTGCTCTGTGCTGAAAAATTCCTCCAAACCAGACCTGGAATAAGTTGCAACAGAGACTAAACATCTGGTGTGGGTCCTATCAGCTTGGGGGGGTGACAACACTTGCACTCATCGCAAAGAATCCCAGCATTAACTGGTATGTGGTATCAGACAAGAACTACACAGCATTTGCCAGCAAGAACAAGTGAAAACAGTTATTTGTTTAACCCCTAGCTGATCTGGCATGAGGGTGCAAGTGACAGCAAAAGATCAGTGCGAGAAGGAATCCTAGCAGCATTTGGGGTCTGTGGAGCTCACCTGTGAGGCAGACATACTGCCCGTCTCCTCAAGGCAGTCCATTACAGTGTAGGGCTGAGAGACCCTGTTCTCTATTACCTTGTCATATGATGAGGAGCTGAGGTCTTCGTAATCAGAGAGCCAAGGGTGAGCCTCTGCATCTCTCTTGGCCATCTCCTCCCATTCTGCCTGCAGTTTGTCCCAGAAGTCCACATCTGACTGAAGGGAGAACAGAATGTGACTAGAGTACCTCAACCACGAACTGAGTTCTATAGACACCCCAGAGAACGCCCTCTTTAATGTTTCTAGCCCTCCTCACAGCATGCAAAGGAGAGAGGTAACCCTACCATGGGCTCTCAATTGGTACCCCAGCCCTCCTCCTCCGTCAGTTTTACCTCCACAGCAGTCTTTGCCTGCTCAAATTCCGTATCAAGAGTTGACATGTTCCCAGATCGCGCAAATTGATCCACCCAGGCATCGGATGCCCCCTGAGAGTTTGGAAACAGAAACACACCTTTCTTTTTAGAATTTGGCAACCTCAGGGCACATCCCAAAACAGCAGGAGGGTCTGTGATGACCCCTCCTCCCCATCAGCAAGAACTGATGGCCTGTAAAGTGGAAAAGAGTTCATCTGGATATCCCCTTCCTCCCAGGTGCTATGGGAGATGAGAAAACTCACATTGCCCAAATACCTTACCAGCTTCTGGCTAGACTCTGCTAAGAAGAGCCCAACAGCCCCTCCCTCGCCTCCCACAGCCTAGTCATTAGAGGACCATTGCTGAGGGTTGGACTTGCCATTCTCCCTCGCTCCCAGACTGTGCACTGTGGCAAAAAGCTTTCCTCCTTCAGAGCACATAGGGCTGGGGCTCCTACCTGCTGCTGTATAAACTCAGCTGCCCATTGCTCTGCCTGATCTTGATCTCTGTGGGTCACCTGATTAGCTTCGATCGATACCCTCCCATCTCCGATCTGGCGGACAAACTCTAGGAACTGTGGCAGAGAAATGAAACAAGGGTGGAGCTGGGCAGATGCTTTGCCAACAAGCCCTCTGCCCATGCCCCCCTCCTTCACTAAGAGGACTTCTCTCTGCAAAGTGAGCACAAAAGGCCCGAAAAGGTGGGGAGGACAGGACTTCACCAGAGTCATGTGGTAGAGATGGATAATATCTAGAGTGGATTGTAGGGTTCAACTTCTAGGAATCAGGGAAGAAATGGAAACATGGGACAGCAGGAGGCTTTAATTCCTTTACTGTCTTCCCCCTTCTTAATTCCCCACACCCCTTATTCACACCAGCTATGTCAGCCCCAGTCAGGGAAATTCTTACCTCAGAATTCTTGAGTTTTGGATCATCCACTTTAGAGAGGAAATCACTAACAGTTTTCTTAAGATCATCCTCAGGTTGTTATTCCTCATACCTACGTTCAGAGGCAGTAAAAGGGAACAATACCAGACAACAGTGAACTCTTTCACTAACAACGATCTACACAAAGGGCCAGACAACAGTATTGAGGGATACAACCCCTCCTCAAAGACTCTCGGGTTCTCCTAAGCGATTCAGTACCTTTATCGATCTGTAAAAATCCAAAATTACTACTAGGTTAACTGTGCAAGTTAACTACAAACAGTAGAATTAAACAATTACAGTGACAGCACAGTTCTGCAGAACAGTCTGGATTCCTTGGCCAGCTCACATCCTATCAGACATTGCAAGTTTTAGCACCACCAAAAACAAGGTCATATATCTAGGAACAAAGAAAGTAGGTCGTGCTCATGGAAGAGGAACAGTGTCTTGGAAAAGCATCAACTCTGCAGAGGATTGAGGGCTCACAGCAAGCACACAATTCAATATGTTGTCTGGTTTACAGCAGGATAGGACCAGTTCCAGGTGTTACCACTACATGCAGCCTTGGCAAAGTCTTTGGAACTGAAGGCAATAACTCAGGAATGTCTGTATTTGCAGAAAGGTATCAGAAAAGGCAAGAGCCAGGAGGAAAGAGAATCCAAATATGCAAAATCTCTC